ACATGGGTTCTAAAAGTTAATATAATTTAAAAGCTAATATTATTGCAGACTAAGAATTAGCAAAAAATTAGAAACTCGAACTCAGGCAACATTAAAACCTAAGAATTAGAAAAAAATTGGAAACTAGAACCCGAGCAACGCCGGGTCCTAAGAGCTAGTTCATGCGTATAAATAAAAATATTATGAACTTGAATAGCTTAATGCTCATTATATTCACAATTTAAAATAAATTATGAATAGTAAACAAAATTGGAACAACTTATTTAGATTAATAAATCATTTTTTATACTCATGCACTAAATAATCGCGAATAAAATGAACTAATTCACAGACAAATAACTTATTTTAAAGGCTTAGATTTATAAATGTTTTCTAAGCTTATGTAATCCGATTTCTGTCACAATAATTATTGTTTTAAAATCTTTAATGAATAATATAAATAAGCCATTATTTTTATTGACTTTAAACCTACATGCAGCTATCTGTCATTGCATTAGTAGAACAATAGTTCAAGTGGTCACAACCTGTAACTTACAAGGTATAAAATTATTATAGTTACAAATTGAATAGGCCCAATGTAAATTTTTTTTCTGGCATTTTATATTTTTCGAGATTTATTATAGGTCCAGATACGTCTACTTTATTGTTAGCTTCACTATTAGCTTCATTATTAGTTTCATTGTTAGCTTCGTTGTTAGCTTCGTTGTTCGTTTCGTTGTTAGCTTCGTTGTTAGCTTCGTTGTTAGCTTCGTTGTTAGCTTCATTTTTAGCTTCATTATTAGTTTTATCATTAGCTTCATTGTTAGTTTTATCATTTGCTTCGTTGTTCGCTTCATTGTTAGCTTCGTTGTTCGCTTCATTGTTAGCTTCGTTGTTCGCTTCGTTGTTAGCTTCATTTTTAGCTTCATTTTTAACTTCGTTAGCTTCTTTAAATAATTCTACAACCTCATCAAAATCTTTTTCATAAGGACTTTAAAATTCATATTATTTAAAATTATTTACAGTAAGCACTTGGATAGATAATTAAATGAAATACTGAAATACACTATAAAACCATTGTAGTATTCATTCTTACTCGTCATAGAAAATGTGTTTGACCTTTGCTTGAATCAATTTTTTTGAGCAGTCTTAAAAATTTCAAATTAACATGTTCAGTATGCATTAAAAGGAAAAAATAAGATCATTGTAACAATATTACATACTAATACACGGAGACCTAAAAAATATATATATTTATTAAACGACCGATAATTATATATATTTCATTTATATTTCAGTGTTTGACATATACTTACGTAGTACAATAAAGAATACAATTCTCTGCTTCCATTCCAGCTATCATTAAGGCATTTTCCTCCGCGTGTATACATTTACAATAATTCTTATTTTCACCTTTACAACTTTTACAGTTACCTTCAATACAATTTTCTATACCTATGGGTGTTCCATTATATCCAGTTGCGATTACTCTATAATTGTCTTTAACTAATACGCATCCAACCTTACGGCTCATACAGTTTGTTCTTGATGCTACCAATTCCGCTAAATACATAAAATAATCTTCTTTCGACAGTCGAAATTTCGATGGTTTCAATGGTTTCAATGCTTCTATCTTTTGATTAAGCTCTTCTTCCGATTTCACAGTGAGGTCAGCTATGGACATCATCTTAGAATGTTTATCATCATCCCACCACTCATCATTTCGATTCATAAAGTCATCAAAATTTTCGGATTCTCCTCTATTTCAATAATATTTATTTTACTAGGCTCGATAATAAATGGTAGTAGTATTTTTAACATTAATACTCACATTTTCCAGTTACCGTATCTAACCTTCAATTTATTATCCACAGCCAATAATAGAAAAAGAGAGCTTTTTCTATAAGGAAATATCATTAAATTTATGTCTTTATAACTCGTAGTTTTTAAAGGGTTACATATTATAATTACCTATATTCCTTTAATTCTTCTAGTTTATTAATTCTGATCACATAATTCTCGGTAAATTTATTTTTGACCATTTTTAAGAGGTCAACCGAATCTTTTTCACTAGTTATGTTGTTTTCTTTACGCCATTCTTCCAATTCGGTGTTTCCATCTTTAAATTCGTGTGTGGTTTTAAGGCATTTGATGATAGCCTCTAGGTCAGAACTAAACGAACAAGTAACTCCAATAAGCATAATCGAGACTTTTGTTATGTGAATGTAAACCCAAAGTCAAAAAAAAAAAAAAAGCACAGTGAGCTTTTTATATATTCCTATCACAAAACAAATAATACAAAAATTTTTATTATTGTAAGCACTCTCATTTAATAATGAAGATAATTATTAGGGTAAATAGTCACAAAACTTATAAATTATATACTGTTTTAGACTTGTGCTATAATAAAAACTTTTTTTAGATATTATCGGATCAAGAATTCCACACCAAAGAAGTCATTGATTTACATTTCAATAATAAAAGGTAGTATAGACACGTACTTAGGTAACTAAAATTATGTTTTACAACAAATTGAACTACAGTGTAGTTTATAACGTGAAAATTAATTTTATTTATGTTCTCTATAAGTAATCGTCCTATTTACACGAACTAAGCATGATCACCTATGTACTGTACGTACGTACGTACAGAAAATCAATTATTTACCAATGTGATAGTTATAGACTATACTAAATTAATAAGTATATAGCGATAGCTTGAAAAACATCAACACGCACTATTATGGGTGGATATAAGCTACGTACGTACAGTACGTAACTAGAGCTGAGAATAGTTATATTAAATAACATTATGAGTAGTACATCAATAAAATATAGTGATGATAAACATAGATATTAATAACACTGAAACAATTATCCCTAAAGGTTAACAATGGACATTGCACTAAGAGTAATCACTATAGTCCAGATATGAAATAGCTGGATTTTTTGATACGAAAAGTTACGGTGTGGTGTAACTTTTTATTAATCTACAAATAAGCCGTAACTCAATTTGCCGTATCTCTAAAATTCATTGGGACTTCATTTGGACGAATACAGTACCCGTTCTTTTCAAAAGGGCCAAGATAAATTAAATGATGCCTGCCTTACCATTTGTTGCTCATGCCTACATTCATTATAATTTCCCACACGATCATATCATGACCAGGAATCTTACTGTGTAAGAAGATTTCCGGTGTTACGATTTAAATTAGATAGATGATAATATTTTTAGTATGAAAGCACGTTCATTCAAGATCTGTTGACACGAGTAATATTTATTCAAAATTATGTGTTTAAGGAAGATCTAGAGACTTAATAAAGAAAAAGAATAGTGAAATATCTCGAAGTCCTTCATTGATGTCCTCCACAAGCTTTTGGCTATATTTTTTTATCACCAGTTAGCTATCGAAGCTAAACTGTACATGTATGCGCGTTGTTCTCCCAACCTAGATGGTAACAGCGTCAAGCGCTTATTATACAATAAATTTTTTTTTAAATTTCCGCCTTAGTTTGTTTTTTTATTCACATTAAAGTTGATTTTTCGTTTTACGTTATCCGCCGACTCATTTTTTTTCAATTTTTCAAAAAAAAAAAAATTTTATTTTTTTTTATTAATAATAAAACTAGAACATGATCATGCAGGCGGCTTCGCCGCCGCCTGTTTTAATTATTATTTGTAGAGGTTAATTGTATTTTCATATTTAAAATAATTCGAATAAAATGATAAAGTGTAACTTGATAGTAAAGATTCACAACTTGAATAATCTACTTCAAATACCTCAGCTCATAAATATTTATTTTCACTTATATATGTCATAAGTGGAAATGGAATTTAAATGGATTTGGAATTTTCCAGTTAAATTAGGGTTAGGTTTAGGGTGTACATATGATAAAATCAAATTCCGTTTCCACTTACAACGTCCGTGAGGGCATATTTTGAGATTCCAGATCGATTTATTTCTCACAACGTACACACGATTTAAGTGTAGAGGTAAGAGCTGAGTTACTAATCGGGCTGTGGCTTATACGCCACCAACCTGACACACATTGAAGAATTGCTGACACTGACAACAATGACCAGAATTACTTTGTCGGTGAAATAATTGTCGGTGAAATGAACTTGTCAGTAATGATGAAAGGTGATAAAAGTGACGAAACTGATGAAAGGTGACAAAACTGACAAAACTGACAAAAGGTGTAAAACAGACAAAAGCTAACAAAACTAATGTATTCGAAAATATGTACCAGATGTACACGATAATAAAACCGCAATAAACAGGGTATAAAATTTTATCTCATGAGCAGTGTTACGCGGTACCCATGTGACTGGTGATCGGGTAAGTACGTACGAAAGCGTGATCTAATTAATGCGTAATCCATATCGGGTGATCACGACTTAATTAAAAGTTAAAATATTGATGCATGAACAATGAGTAAAGTATGTAATAATCAGTGACGCAAATGCGTATTAGTAATAAATAAATAAGGTATCGATCCAAAAGGGGAGATACCAGATTTGAACCTTGAAGATAGAACTTTGAGTTCTTTGAATTATTCTTAGTGAATAAACTGTTATCTTAGTGATCATATTGGTGGTAGTATCTGGTACGATACACCAGCCATCGTATATTGCCAAGCGAGTGTAAATTGATAGTAAAGACCCACGAGTACACGGTAGTTTGGGTAACTCCGTGACAGTTAAATTGTTTTATTTGTGCGAAATAAAATGAGGCTTATAGAACAGGATTCAAAAAAATAATAACTATTTTTTCAGCCTAATTGTATAATAAAAATCACATGTTAACTTAGGTTTGGCCACATTTTATGGTCACGAAAATTAAATCGATACTGTATTGAAGATCAACAAATCCTTTCTAAAGAAAATTATAGTTCGCTAATCATCGCATTGTCAAACCATTACTAACGGCTACAAATTTTTCTGATTCAGAAATTTTCTTGGCTATGCACGTCATCTCAATAGCCTGCAATTACGATATCCGATAAATCCAATACAAAATTAACATATCCTCCTACCAGTGGCTATAAAGTCTTCACAGTTCAAATTTTTCTTACACGTTAATCTGCCAGTACTATATCAGAATTTTTTTTTTTTTTTTTTTTTTATTAACCTCCAAAGAGGACGCCATGTAGGCGTATTTTATTAATAATTATATCAGAATTTCAATAGTAAATCGCCACACAAATCACAATAAACCCAATACAAAATTAATATTTCCCTATTAAATAACTTACTAGCGCTAGTGGCTACAATTCTTCCCAAATTGGAATTTTTTTCGTTAGATATGTCACCAAAAATGTCTGCATTTACGGTATCAAAATTTTGTAGCAAATCACCATCTTCATTCGGAGTTTTCTTTGCTAGGCATGTTATCCCAAAAGTCTGCAATAACAGTATCCAAATTTTTACAGTAAGTTAACAAATCCAATATAAAAATAACATATCCTTATCTAAATCACCTACTAATGGTGCAAATTCTTTCGGGTTTTCACTAGGTATGTTATCATTAATCTGTAAGTATATGTAAGTATAGTACCCGAATTTTTTTACAGTAAATCACACATAAATCGTTAATACAAACCTTATCAAATCACTCTACAGGCTAACATAAATCGTTAATATAAACCTTATCAGATCACTCTACAGGCTACAAATTCTTCCCAGTTCAGAATTTTTTACCACACAATTACGATACAGTATATCTAATTAATATCAACATATTAACTCAATCTAAATCACTTACAAATTCTTTCAGTTCGGAATTTTTTCTTTGCTAGGTATGTTACATACTTCAATAGCCTGTAAGTATAGTAGCTGAAATTATTACAATAAATCAATAAACAAACCATGATAAATCCAATAAAACTAACAAAAACATATTTAAATTACTTAACAGCAGCTACAAATCCTTTCTTTTTTTTCACTGGGTACGTCATGTCAGGTGATGGTTGTTAAGTGAAATTAATTGACGAAGACAAAACTTCCTGGTGAAACCCCTGATAAAAGCCAAAACCTTAAAAGCTACACCATGTTATTATCTTGAATAACACTGATGTAGGAACGAACAACTACGAAAACAGTGAAACAGACCTGTAAATAAAAAAAATATTTATAGTAAGCACATAAAATTACGTATTATAATACATAATATATATAGTTAATCCATGTGATCGCCACCAGTAAAACAAAGTAATTTCTTTAGAAATAATACATAAAATAAATAACTTTAATTTCAAATTGTATTGTCTTTACAATATTTATTATTATTATAAAAAAATTGAAACAAATAAATTTTGTATTTATTTTTATAATATAGCTATGACTACATCTGATACAAAGT